GCACTACGAAGATCACTCATAAGTGCCTTATATCTCTGTTCGGCAAAACTGTCACATTTTTCTTAATCCCAAACCGGTCCACATTTGATGGAATTGTGGGCCTCGACTTGCTCACTCAAGCAGGAGTTTCGCTTTGTCTTTCTTCTGGCCAACTCAAATGTGGCGCAGAAACTGAACAAATTGAATTCCACAGGTGCGCGGATGTTAACTTTACCAATGTTGACTGCGCCGATGCGCCCGATGCTGTAAAAGATGCATTCCTAAATATGCTAAAAAGCAAACATAACACATCAGTGGTGGCAACCATCAGGACCACTGATGAACAACCAGTTTATGTCCGACTGTACCCCTACCCCATGGGAGCAGCGGAATTCGTTAATAAAGAGATTCAAAGCCTTCCGAAGAACGGTATCATCAAAAAATCTGTCTCCCCCTACAACAACCCCATTTGGGTGGTGGACAAGAAGGGGACGGACGAGTTTGGTAACAAGAATATGCGCCTAGTAATGGATTTTCGCAAACTTAACGAGAAAACCATCGCAGACAGATACCCTATGCCTAACATTCCAATGATTTTGGGGAATCTTGGCAAAGCTAAATACTTTTCGACATTGGACCTGAAATCCGGCTATCACCAGATCACGCTAGTCATTATTATTAAGAGCAAAATTAGAGGGGCAGCTGATGGCGTTTTGGGTCAGTTTGGCACAGTAATGAATTTTGATGCCATGATAAACCGTCTCGATTTCACATACAGGGATAAGAGAGGCATTCACGTCATAGAGCAAGAGATGAGCACCCTAAGACAGGGCTCGTTAACAATTTTACAATACTATGACGAGGTTGAGAGAAAGCTAACTCTTCTCACCAATAAGGTCAACATGTCTTATGAACCAAGCATGGCACAAGGGCTCTGTACAAAGTTAAGAGATGATGCGTTGCGTGTTTTTGTCTCAGGCCTAAAGCGTAGCCTGACGGATGTCCTGTTCGCGGCAAAGCCTAAGGACTTACCGTCGGCCCTAGCGCTAGCGCAAGAGGTAGAGGCAAGCCATGAGAAGTACACCTTTGCCGCTAGCTTCGCTAAAGGACAAGAAGATAGGGAACGAAAAGTGATCCCGAGGCCGCAGGTCCGTCAGCAAGATAGGGGTCAACAGCAGGGGGATCCGCAACCCAGCGGTTCCAAAAATCCTCACTTCACTAAACAACAGAAACACCAACAAAGTCAATTTGAGCAACAGAGTGGCAGGTGGAACAAAGGTGGCGGGTCACAGGAACCAATGGACGTCGATCCATCTGTGTCTAAAATTCTTAAACCATCGCAAGCACCAGCCTACGTTAACTTTAGCGCTCCTCAAGCCTACAAAAGAACGGCCACGTCTGGGCGTTTAAGCGAACAGAGGAGGCAGAGAGTCAATTAGAGTTACTTAATGGCGTCTGAGATGCGTCCTTCTGCCTGTGACATACATTTGGATTTTGCACAAATATAACATACCCTTATTACCATTTTTAATGGGTTCAGGGTATAAATAGATCGAGAAATTTCGTGTAGAAAAGTTGCGTTTTCTGAATGCTGTCTTGTTATGATATAAAATTGTTATTGACAAAAATTATTTTTGTTAATTACGTTTTGTAGTCAGTTAAACCAAATTCGGCTTTCGCTATCTGTACACATTTGGCCATATTTGTTACAAACACTGAATTTATTCAAGAATGAATTTTCAAGTGTGCCGGCAAGAAAATAAGAAACACAGGCTGTTTGTTAAGTGCACAATTTGTAACGTGCAAATGTATGTAACAAGGAAAGGAAGCAGCTTCGACCACGCAGAGTATATACATATATTGGTCTGCGTCAATAGCCAAGTCGATCTAATTATGTCCACCATTCTGCATTTCCGTCCGTCTATCCGTTTAAGTTTCTAAGAGACTTTAAAGTTTGAAAGTAAAATTTCCCAGTGACCGCGCTGTGTGAGTTTTTTTCCGATAAGCGATTATTTTCCCCGTGTCCAATCAATCAAAATAATCAATATCAACATCCTCTTTTTTGAACCAATCTCTTAGGTTTTAAGAACTAAGGTAAAAAAAGTAAATACAAATCAAGTATCTTTCATTTTAAAGCTACTGTCACCCATATGCCTCTACCCCATAGCTATATATCAAATAAATAACTCAATTGGAACTGTCCTCCAATTCATCCAACAATTTAAATGTTATTGATTTTTCGTCAATATTAATTAGGAAAGTTAGTTAGTTAGAAGTTGTTAACGAACACTCAACAAGCCTCGCGATTGCGGCAGGTGGTAAAAATTGTAAGAATTTCTGTATACAAGTGCACATACATGCATTCATATGCCTGTCTTTTTATACCCTTGCAGAGGGTATTATAATTTTGTCGTGAAATGTGTAACGCAATGTTAATGTATACGAACTAGTCTCTCAGTTATGAAGCTTTCGCCATGAAACTTTGCAAAAGTACCTCTTTCTGTTGCACGCATTACAAATGTATATTGGAACCGCATAGATCGGACCACAATATCATATATCTGCCATAGAAACGATCGAAGAAAATTAAGTTGTTGGATAGAAACCTTTTTTTTTTTCAAGGAAGTCCTAATAATTGTAACATGCGGGTGGTGCTGGGCATATGGTTTCCCGACTAGGTTGTTTATTTTAACAGCTGCTGAGTAATAGATATACCAAAGACAATATAAACACTAAGATGAGTAACGCCCATACATTTGAATGCGACGCAAAATTTCTAGCCAGGCCTTTCATCTGGCCTTTGAGGCTTCGTACGGCATGCCTGCCGACTGGTTGTTCGTTCTCCAAAGACCAGACGAACGAATGCCGAAGTCGCGGCTTGCTGATGCTGACACGAGCAACGAAGTTAGTCGCCAGCTTGCCTTCAGCAAAGCTGGTCGATGCTGCTTTGCGTCGCTTCGTTTTCGAAGTACATTAAGCGAAAAATTTTAGAAGTTACGATCGACGCAAAGTGCTTATGCTTTATCCATGAAATGCATAGTTTATTTTAATGATATATTACCCTAGATATTAACGATTAATTTTACAGGAAAATTTCAGAATTAAATAATTTTTACACAAGGCGCATCCTGTGCAATAACTACGATAAGAAATTAACACACATAGATTGATTTCACTTTTGTTTTTGAACAGTGTATGCTCGAGAAAAGTTCTCGTCTCAGCCAATGGCGTGCAAGCACCATTGGTTGTATGCGTGAATTACACATGCATAAGAACCTTAAAGTATGTATGTATGTGTATGTATTCACTGCTCTGGCTTTAGCTGGCATGAAATTAATTTTGTTAGTTTTCTAGCGCAGATCATGACCTATCCCAACGCAAATTTTTGATATATGAATGCATTTTGTGTACTGAGGTTGGCACCGTAGAAAATATGTTTTTCTAAGTCGATGCAAATATTTACATAATTTCTTTAAAATAAATTAATATTATTTTTATTCTCCAATTAAGAAATAAAAGAGTGCTAAAAAATACAATTACATTTGAAGTCGACTCGAAGGTCATATTTAGTTATGACCCCAATATAATTATAATGGCCTCCTCGCGGTGTCCCCAGGGTACCAATTAGCATCGGTAGCTAATTCGAGCGGCGACTTTGTTGTTTATAATTCGAACAAAAAATAATAAATTAAAAAGAAATAAAAATTAATTAAATGTATCTTTGAAAACAACAAATTTGCACTTTTATTCACTTAAATTTTTTTGTATTACTTAAAAATAATAATAATTTAATTAATAATTTTAAATATAAACGAGAAGATCTTATACCCTTGCAGAACCAACCTTTTCATAATGCTTATAGTGCTTTGCCCGTATCTAAGAAGCACAGGGAAAATAGTTAATGCCGAGTTTGGGCAAGATATCTTAATATATATATGTGAGGAGTAAAGTAAAACTAATAAATGCCGAGTTTGGTCAAGATATCTTGAAAAACAAAATGTTTTTTCATACAGAAACTTAAATTTCGACCGATCGTTCCTATGGCAGCTATATGAAATAGTGGTCCGATCTTAATAGGATTTCGCATATATATGAAGAGCTTAATAAAACTAATAAATGCCGAGTTTGGTCAAGATATCTTGATAAACAAAAACTTAATTTTCGACCGATCGTTCCTATGGAGCTATATGATATAGTGGTCCGATCAAGCTGGTTTTCACATATGAGCTGCGTGCAACAGAAAGAGGGACTTCTGCAAAATTTCATTAAGATAGCTTTAAAACTGAAAGACTAATTCGCATAGAAACAGACAGACGGACAGACGGTCGACGGACAGACGGACATGGCTATATCGACTCGGCTGCTGATGATGATCAAGAATATATATACTTTATGGGGTCGGAGATGTCTCCTTCTATGCGTTACACATTTAACGACAAAATTATAATACCCTCTGCAAGGGTATAAAAATTACATAAATATTTGCATCGACTTAAAAATACATATTTTCTACGGAGCCAACCTCAGTACACAAAATGCATTCATATATCAACACAAATTTTGGGTAGGTCGTGATCTGCGCTAAAAAACTAAGAAAATTGTTTCTTTGCCAGCCAGAGACTTTGCCAGAGCAGTGGATAACAACACATTTGTATGTTATGTATGTATATTCACACGCATACAAACATAATTGGTTGCACGGCCCTCATAGGGCCGAAGCTGAGAGCAAATTCTATTTTTAGCTTTTTCGTTCTCTCGGCTGTGAGAGCGCAATGCTACAGATTTCGTTTTCGTTCTCAATTTTCAAAAATCAAGCTGCATAGTAGCATCTTGTTGTAGGGCGTTACTCATCTTAGTGTTTATATTGTCTTTGGATATACCATGCTCCTACTTTAGGGACAAACTCTTATTCAAATCGGCCCAATGCATTTAAAAATTTCAAAATTGATAATGTTGCAAGTACACATATATTTGGACGAAACTGTAATTGATATTAATTTTTTGAAAATTTTGAGACTTACCTTTCCAAAAACTTTTTGAACGGTCTACCCTTAAGTTGCCCAAAGATTTCATCCATGTACGGCTGTTAAAAAAAAAAAATAAAACCAAATTATTTAAAAATCCCACTAATTAAAAAGAAATACTAAAATGTATAATATGTACGTTTTTAATCGTACTTTTACTTTTTGTTTACTTAAGATGCTTATATGAATATTATACCCTGAACCCATTAAGAATGGGTATAAGGGTATATTGTATTTGTGCAAAATCCAAATGCAAAACAAGCAGAAGGAAGCATCTCCGACCCCATAAAGAATATATATTCTTGATCAGCACCAATAGCGGAGTCGATCGAGCCATGTCCGTCTTTCTGTCTGTCCGTCCGTCCGTCTGTCCGTATGTATGAACGCAAGGATCTCAGAACCTATAAGAGCTAGAGACTTGAAATTTTAGATGTAGGTGCTCCTATTGCCTGCGCAGATCGAGTTTGTTTCCGATTATCGATAACTTACTCCGTTTCCAACATTTTAGAATTAGAAACTTGAAAAGACATCAATGATAGATAATAGAAACTCAATTTCTTATATGTAATGCACACCTTCACATAATCGGCATACACTAGCAAGAACCCTTAAATGGCACATCCTCATTTAAATGTAATAAAAGTAAGTAATTATAATCCGGTCAATCAAACCAGAATCAGAATCCAGGCTACATGATATTCGACAGTTGAATATATATTAAATTTAACCAATTTAAAGTAAAGGCAGTAATGACCTTACAAAATTAAGAGTAGCGCGACTTCAAAAGGTGAGCGTAATAAATAAAGATAGTGAAGTTCCAATAGACGCAATACTTTTCAAACACAAAATTACTAAGCATATGACATACGCAATGTATGTCAAAATTGAAAATTCATTCATACGCTACTAAATAACACCATCGATCCACTTCCTAAATCTGAAGATGGCAATGTTTGTGCAGTCACAATAACAGGTAATCTGACCAAGTATCTGGTTGCAATTCCAATAAGAAATAAAAGAACATGAACCGTTTCAAAAGCAATCTTTGAATCTTTTGTACTTAGATATGATCCAATGAAGGCCCTAATTACCGTCATGCGTACACAGTACAAAAATTGAACAATAACAGACTTATGTAAATACATAAAAAATAACTATGATTTCCTCTGCAGCCCACCACTACCCCACCCCTGGTACGATGAAGCGCATTCATCAAAGATTCACCGAATAAATTCGTTCATATATTTCGACAGCTAAAAGTAACTGGAATGTTTGGATTGTGTAGTACAGGAGTACAGTTCGCAGATTTTAAGCACATAAAAGCTTTAAGAAAGAATGACGCAGGTCTTCACTTGAGAAATAACACCCTAAACCCTCTTCTTCCAAATGCAAATATATATACTAAACGCTACATGTTAAGTTTGGTGACTCTAGCTATTATTATTTACCAAAATTATCAAAAATAACAGGATTTCGACGTAAACGGGGCAAGTTATCGATTATCGGAAACAAACTCGATCTGCGCAGGAACTAGGAGGAAAAAAATTTCCATTTGCAGAGAAGGAGACAGAAGTCCCTCTTCTGTTGCACCCAGCACATTTGTCAAAACCAGCTGGATTGGACCACTATATCAAATATCACCATAGGAACGATCGGTCGAAAATTAAGTTGTTGTATGGAAATAAATTTTGCTTATCAAGATATATTTACCAAACTCGATGTATTTGAACAAACTCGGCATTTATTAGTTTTACTATGCTCCTCATATATATGCAAAATCCCATTGAGATCGGATCACTATATCATATAGCTGCCATATGAACGATCGGTCGAAAATTAGGTTGTTGTACGCAAAACATTTTTTTTATCAAGATATCTTGACCAAACTCGACATTTATAAGTTTTACTATGCTCCTTATGAGGAGCTATCCTATTAAGATTGGAGCACTATATCATATTGCTGCTCGGTCGAAAGTTAACTTGATGTATGGAACATTTTTTGTTTTTTTAAGATATCTTGACCAAACTCGTCATTTTTTATGGCGGCGTGCCGAAGATAGCCTCTCTTTCTCATTTAAATTTATTTGAGGAGTGTTCCGAAATTTTTGGAAAATCCATTCCTCCTTGGTGGAAATGGGGGTCAAAGATTTGGTGGCTGACGTTTTGCCCTCAAATTTATATCCAAGGATCTAGATAAAAAGTTATTTGAGAAGTGCTTCACATTTTCCGCAAAATCTAAACTTTTTCGGTAGAAAGTGCATTTAAATTTTTTTTTTGGTAAAGCTTGAAGTTTTGTTCGATTTGCTTCAAACTTATTTGTAAAGCTCTACATAAGAATATAATGAATACGTGTATCAGCGATTTGGGAAATTCTAGTGGTACATTGGCGGAAAACGTGTGGATATTGTATAAAGTTGTTTGTTAACCGTTCAATCAGTTGCAAAATCATTTTCAAAGCTTTTTGAGAACATTTATTTTATAACATATGTGCCACGGGAAAGGCCGACTCATACCCGCTAGTATATAATATAATAATAATATAAGTTAATCTTTTTTGGAAATTCCAACAGCAACTGTGAGAATATCGTGCAAAACGTGCATTCAACTTTTTTATTTTACTTCTGATCGGCCTCAAACTTATTGCGGGTCAAAGGTTTAGTATGTGAAGTTTCGTATTCAGATTCATTTCCTCGGTAGAAAAGGGAATAAGATATACCGTAAAGTATTTCAGCGCCCTGGTCTGTAGTTATTGTTTTTAGGCATGCAAGCTGTGTAATCCAATTCGACCAGAATATCGAAACAACACGGTCAGCTGACATATGTTTCATTGGAATAGCCTCGAGCCATCTTGAGAATCGGCTGCTCATAGTTAGACAATAGCGAAATCCTTTTACTTCTAGCATTACAACAATGTCTCAATGCACATGGTAAGCCGGCCTTCCGGCATTTCGATGTTTTCCGGGATCATAGTACTATGGCGATGGATTTTCGATCGTTGACAGAGTAAGCAGTTTCGAGACCAGGATGTCACATCTTTTCTCATACATGGCCATATGTATTTGCGGCATATTTGCTGATTAGTGGCTCTGCTGCTGGGATGAGAGACATTATGATTGAAAGCAAAAACGCTATAGCACAGTGGAATGTGTGTAAACTGGCATATTGAAACTCTTTGAGGCGGGGACTACCTTGTAATACATGTTGTAGTTCAATGCCGTTGTTTTGAGCCTCTTTTATTTTTTCCAGCATGATAGCATGGCCATTGAAATAACAGTAAGGTGGAATAATGCGCAATAAAATCCGGGAGACGTACCTGTCGAGGTGATGCCTTCTCAGGCTTCTGAGAGAATATATTTTAGTAAGAAGCTTGTGGTCTGTTTTGATGTCACAAGAACATCCGGGATGTGGTTGAAAAATCGAATAACCTCATAAAGCTTATAACTCTTGTAAGCTTGCGGTAAAAGAATCCCAGCGGCTCCCATTCTCTGTGAACTTTCTAGGCTAACGCTCGTCGGATATTAGACTAACCGGAGCATTAGGACTCGGATGTGACATAATAGCAGCCTGAGACGCCTGAGGCCGTTTGCACGATTAAAATTAATTTATCGTCCCTGCAATCCACTAGATTTTGCGTTTGTAGTTCTTTTTCATACCTCGACAAATTTCTCTGAGTGCTGCTTAAAAGGCAAATACATTAAGAATACAACGACGCTAATAATTAGCGATGCCAAGGAATCGGCCAAGTTTCAAACTTGTCGGGTCTATTGATAATGACGTTGACTCGATCTTCTAGTGGCAGTATTCCACTTATGTCAATGGTGTAGTGCAGGATTTTTACTTCGGACTAGGCGACCTGACATTTATTTATAGCCAGTATTCTGTAGCATGAAGAGAACGGTTTGAACCTAATCAAAATGTCGTCGATATAGCAATAGAGAAGGTCAATGACCCTGAATATGCTGTCGGCCATTGGAATTCGCATTTTTTAGCAAAATTTAACCATTTAGCACGAAGCGCAGAATAGCCACCAATTTTCATTTCTAATTATATAAACTCATAAGTTTTAAGGCTTTTTAAAACAACTTGTAATGAATTTAATTTGTTGGTTTAAGAACTGATTATAATTGGGAGGTGTTAAAATAGTATCAGCTGATAGGCATTCTTAAAATCTAGCTACATTATATTAGCAAAGTACTCTTTCTGTAATTGACTACTGCGTTAATCGTTTGTGTACTCATGATTAATTTTCTATTTAACGTCAAACAGAACCACTGCGTTTGTATCTCGGGCACACTGGAAATATCCCAATATCCCTGTCTCAGAACAAAAACCATTAAATTCGGAGTAAAAAGAACATAGAAAAGAAAGGTCGCTGTAAATTGGATTGGGATTGCGATTGGACTGCAAATGAGAAATCAAACTGAACTTCTGAGCGTTCCAGTGGCGCAGCATAAATAAAAATTAATTTGCGGACTACCAACCGAACTACTTAGCACTGCCTCTACTCCACAGCCAAAAATTGAGTTTCAACGAAAATTCTATTTGTTTTTGTACTTTTGCGCTTTGCGCTAGCTGCCACTGACACGTGGCTTGCCAATATAACCACGCGGATTTCTTTATAACTTCTTTTTTCTTAACCAATTATGATTAAATTTTTAGCTGTAGACCGTATTGGGCTTAGAAAATGTACATTTTAATCATTCACTAATTAAAAACTAATGAAGGTCGTTACGTACAGTCACAACAATCACAGACTGTGATACCATACGCAGAACAAAACGTTGTAACCCTTAAATTGTATATAACATTTTTGCCTCGCAAACACACACATGAAAACTTGCCTTAAAATGTGCGTGTGCAAACAACTATAAAGGGCGTCAAGAGAAAGATAAGATTGTAGCACTAACCATACAACACATAAATGGGACATCTAGAACAAAAATTGCTAGTCATTCATTTCGTTTTTGTTCGGGTCCATAACTCGCTCACTTGCTCAAAGAGCATGCAAGTTACATGCAAGACTGTCATAAGCTTAGTGTTACAAAATTGCATCGCTGAA